TAGTTTTAGCTTAGCACATCTTATTTCTGTTCGTAATAAGATGATAAATGTTATTAAAGTTGTGTTTAATTGACTCAATGGAAGGATTCTAGCACTTCACTTTTTAACGAACAAGACGATTAATATGGGTTGCCCAATCTCTTAGTGTAGAACTCTATTGATCTTTAGCTCTTAAAAAGAACTAATCTCATTCATGAATTCTGGTGTGAGGTGAAATGGTTATATTATTTCTAGACATGGCCATAAGTCCAGAAAGATGGACTTATTTCATTTTGAAATGAGCTTGTAATCTTTAAATTTTGTCGTATATCATTAGAGCTAAGTTTAAGCCACTACTTTAACATTAGTTCTCACCTTTATTTTGGATCATAATCTATTTTTTTACATCAAAAGATTAAAGTGAAATGAAATCTAAATTTTATCTATTTTTTTTTTATTCTTAATCAAGCCTTTCTCCTCTTCTCAATATTGATAGATACACTAATTCATACTTTCAATATTGATAAATAAGTTAATTCATACATTTATTTACTATTTTTAATCAAGAGTAAATTACATTTTCTCCTTATAGGCTAAACTTTCTTATTTATTTTAGTCTTCTTAAGCAATACAAATTACATTTCACCCTCCATCTCACTTGTTAGGAACTAAAGGATGCTTTATTGATCATTTATTAGAACAAAAGTCATAGAATGCATGGATTTACTTCTAAACTATTTCTTAGATATTAAGTGATCGTAAGTTATTTAGGCAATCAAGAGCTTTTTAACACTTGAAAATTTTCATATATGATGAATTGTGTTGTCATAAATTTCGTCCCAAAGTATATGTCCACTTATGAGCTCTCTAATTATGTACCAGCCTCATTGTGTAACATCTTTTATAAAGGTATTCTAAGAGTTTTATGATCAAATTAAATTAGCCCTCCATCTAATCATAAACTTTTTTTAATATATTTCTATTGCTAGTATGAATATAGTTGTTACTATTTTCTTAGCTTTTGAGATTTTAAGAGGATTCAACTCACTTCTTTCTTTTAAAAGCTTTTGTACCAAGGTTGACCTTTAAAAAACTTCTAATAATGTTAATTGGAATTTTCTTTTCCAAAGGTCTATTTGTTAAGAGCTTCCTAATTTAATTTGCCAAATGCATTATAAATAATATCCCATTTGCTCTCATTATTAATTAAAAACTAAAGGTTATTTGAACTCTACTAATATCCTTAAGCAAGGTTATTGTATCTCCTATTTCCTCCCAAATTTTATTATAAATTTATTTTTTGCATCTTTAGATAGTAGATCACTCAATATGACTGTAAATTTATTAATAATAGTTCTTTCAATATCAATCATTTAATTTATATTGATAACTTATTAACATTTAGGTATGCTAATGATATGAATTTTCATACTTTCCACGGTTGTCTTGTGTAAAGTTTTTTCACCATTCATAATATTGGTTTAGCATTAATAGTCACTTATAGATAGGTTCAATTATTGATTGACTAACTAGAAACACATATTTATATAATTAGCCTATCAACTTCAACTCCTTAGTTATTTTATTCAAAAATACTTATTATAATGGCTCAAATCTAGTTTAATAGTCAAAATTATTGTTAAAAGAAATTTATTTTTAAGACTACAAGATTTTATTATGATTTAGAACACCCTAAAATGCCAAATATTTTCTTTTAGAGCCACAATATGTTTTATATAGATATGTTCTAGATATTTTATCTATTTCTACTCTAAACTCTTTGTAAAATGAAAATGATTTGGAAGATTGTTGAAAGAAATAATCTCTTTTACTTTTTGTGTGAAACTTGTTTTGACTTAATTAGAGTAAGTTTTCTTGAATTTTTTTTTTTTTGGTTAAACTTCAATGATTACTTCCAACCATACAAAATTTAATTATCTTTTCTATTTGAGGTGGTTCTTTCTTTACTTTGTTTTATGACTCTTGGATTAAGGAAACTTTTCCTATTAGTTGTTGGGTATAGAGCTTTCTCCTTTATTAATTTTATTATGAAGGTTAAGATTGAGGTCACTATGTCCAATGATTAGTGGGCTTTGCCCTGAATTCTTACGGCTGCATTTTTTACTTACTAGCATAATTTAAATTCATAAATATTTTGTGGGGTAGTGACAAGCGGCTTTAAAATATGAAAGAAAGCTTTTTTATGTCCAATGCTAATAATTTTTTTTATATATTAATGCATCTAATACTCTTTCATATAAATCAAGGTATTATAAATATTTTTCTATTGAATATTATCTTTTGGCATTGTTGGCTTATCAAAATTGACTTAAAATAGCTAATAACTTTCTTTCTGCTGGTTAGAGGTGTTATTATGGTTTTAATTTTCTTTATCATTTAAAAATGGGAGAACAATTTCTATTTTTTTAGTCCTTACTCGCGTGGTTAATTATTAGTACTATATAAAAATAATATTCCTCTCTGAAGCCTCTTTTATTAAATTTTATAAGTTAGTAATAATTATAAAAATATTGTGTTGAAAAGCTCTAGTTGCTAATTGTAAATTTTCTAGTATATATTATATAGTCTGACATGAATGAACTCTTACAGACTTCAAAATGCTTGATCGATACTATTTTGAATCATATAATTAAATTTCAAGTTGCTATTAAAGTTTAAAGATGGAATCTAAAGGATAAGTTGTCTTTATATTGCTTCTTGACTCTGTGATAGTATTAGTGATTAATTTGGCATTTTAATAGATTGATGATTCTTTCTTTTTTACCCATTTTTACCCATATCGTGAATAATAAATAAAAGTTTCATTTTTACCGTCGCATTAGCAAAAAAGAAATTGAGGAGGCTTTAAAGAAAACCAAGGGTGGAAAGTCTGTAGGACCTGATGATGTCCCAATTGAAGTGTGGAAATATTTGGGACATTTGGGAGTTTCTTGGTTTACTAAACTCTTTAATATTATTTTAAATACTAAAAAGATGCCTGAGGAGTGGAGGAAAAGTATTTTGGTCCCCATTTTTAAGAATAAAAGGGATGCACAAGAGTGTGCAAATTATAGAGGAATTAAGTTGATGTGTCATACTTTAAAATTATGGGAGAGGGTAATTGAACATAGGTTAAGACGCATCACAAAAATTTCTCATAATCAATTTAGACTTATGTCGGGTAGGTCTATTATGGAAGCTATACATTTATTGAGAGGTTTGATGGAGAAGTTCAGAGATAATAAGGAGAATCTACATTTGATTTTTATTGATTCAGAAAAAGCTTACGATAAGGTTCCAAGAGATATCCTGGATGTGTTTGATGATGATGATGATGATGATAACATGAAGACGAACAATTTCATTCAACATCTGAGGGCTCCCTTTTTGGTGCACATTGACAAAATATTTTCCTATTTCTGTTGGATTACATCAGGGATTGGCTTTAAGCCCATATCTTTTTGCTTTAGTTATGAATGGTCTTACTGGACATCTACAAGAGGATGTACCTTGGTGTATGCTTTTTGCTGATGATATTCTTCTCGTGGATAAAACGAGAGAAAATATGATATCCTTCTTGTGGATAAGACTAAAGGAGTTAAAGAAAAACTTGAATTATGAAGGTCTAGGTAGAACTAAAACTGAATATGGAATGTAATTTTAGCAGTAGTAGCTATAGTGACAGAAATGTAACTATGGGTGATCAAATTATTAAAAGGTGTGAACGCTTTAGATATCTCGGGTCTATTGTTCGAAGTGATGCTGATATTGATGGGGATTTTATTAGTAGAATTCAAGTTGGTTGGTTGAAGTGGAGGAACGCTTCAGGCCTATTGTGTGATAGAAAAGTTCCTCTAAGACTGAAAGGAAAATTTTATAAGACAGCGGTGAGACCTGCAATGCTCTATGGTGTTGAATGTTGGCCTTTAAAAGAGAAGCATAATAATAAGTTAAGTGTTGCCGAGATGAGAATGATTAGGTGGATGAGTGGCTTTACACTTACAGACAAAATGCGAAATGAATATATTCGTGATAA